ATTTACAACCTCGTTATCAGTCTTGCAGACAAACTGAACCACGTTTATACGATTATCCTTCATTATAGATACTGGTTTTACAACTTGTCGATAATTATTTCTCCATCTTCGATGGGAGGCTGGCGTTGTGACCACCACAGCAAGGAATACATCTTCCAGAAGGGTCATCTCTGCATCTGTGTTTTTATTGAACAGTTTATCAATATCCCGGCTTCTTATTTCCTCCAAACTTGACCAGTAATCAACCATCATCTTCGCTGAAACATTATGGATCACCGGATATTCCCAATACAGATGTGGTTGATTCAGTGCACTCCCATCAAGGTTAAATTGGCTGTATGTAGAAGGTGGCACACCGAGTTTCGACATTATAACTCCAATATATGCATCTTCAGATGATATGTATCCAGTTAGATTCTCTGATATGTGTTCATAACACCTTCTAGATAAATCTCCAGAAATAATATATAACACGCCTAAGTTGTAGCTGGGATAATATTCATCTGGAAAATCATCTTGTGAGGTATACCATTTATGCTTTGGATTGCGGATGACAGGGGCCCTTTTTCCGCGCTGTTGACCAAGATACATATCTACTTTCGGCAAAGAACGGATTTGTGGTATAATGTTCATCAAATTTACAAATACGTCATCGTCAGTTTTTATGATGAAATTTGCAGATGAACAGAAATAATACGACCACCTAAGGAACATAATTGTTTTTCTGGTCAAGTTCCTGTAGTGTTCCTGGAAACTTCCTTGCACTAGATCGTCATATTGAAGACTTTCACGACTGAGTTCTTTTTGAATTTCCGCAGACTCTGGAATACCTACAAGAAATACTACTCGAGTAGAGTGATTTATTAGTAGATTTCTGTTTGCCCAAGTCTGTCTGATGGCTGAGCGGGAATCAAAATGAGAAGGTGATGATTCGACGCCAACCAAAATAACAGACTCGGATGTCGATTTCATAAATGAGCATGTCTGTGCTGGGTTAATCAAAAATGTGAAACTGGATGGCAAATGATCAATTCCCATGGCATTGTTCTTTGGTTGTTGAAATGCAGAATCACGAGTCTTATTCCAATTGACATCTGTTAAAGCGAGGCTACTGTGAGTCGCATACGTTTTATTGACATGAACATACACAACATGTTTTTTGTCAATCTTGTTGCGTTGCAGAATGTTCCATGTACTGAATAACAACCTTATCATCATACAGCTCAACAAGACAGGTAACTATACTGGCTGCCACAATGACTTTGAATAATAAAACGAAGCTTTTTCTCGGCATTGTTATCGGAGATGGAGACTGTTTACGCGTGTTTCTGTCGTGAGTCAGAGAATAATACACGTGTTCACAACTGGCTTAGTACCCGTTTTAGTCTGTTTGGCGATTACTGTGTGATGCGATCCTAGTTTTGCGTTCCAATAGTGCCTTTGTCGTATAGATTTTT